AAAAAATCTATCAAATAATAATTTATTACACCCAAATAGGGTAGAAAGCATCTCTGTAATCAGAAGCCAGTTTTAATTTTAATAATGACTGATTTAAAACAATTCGCCAAAAAACAAATCAGACATACTTTAATCAATGATTATCTAGAACCAAAATATGAATCATTTAGAAATTGGTATCGTAGTTATACCACAGAAGATGATAGAAGAAAAATCTTTGAAATTTATTTTAAAGAAATAAAAACAGATTTTATGAAAGAAAATAATTTCTTTCATTTTTAACCTGAATTTCTTTCATTAGATGAACAAGAATTTCTTTTATTTCAATAGATGAACAATAATTTCTTTCATTTCAAATCATCACAAAATTTTGACATTTAAAATCGTATAAAACAAAATCAATTCTTCACAAAACCATATCTCAGAGTAGGGAAAAGAATAAAGAAGACTACTCAAAATTCATAAGAAGGATACGACAAAACACATATTTCATATATAAAATCAAATTTACAAAACAAAGAAATAAAATAAACAACTTATCTCACAATCATTCCCAAGCAAATCCCTAGAAGTTCTCTTCAAGCACTTTCCTTTTTTACAAGCACTCTCAATTCTCTCTTGAAAGTTTAATAAAAAAAAAAAATCTCACTTTCCCTCTCCTTTTACAATTCTTGAAGTAAATTTTCAAGTCCTTGACGCTCTCTCTCTCTCTCTCCCCATCGAACTCTTCTCTCACACACCACACCACTTTACAACCGACCAACTCTCCTTCTTCAAGCCCTATACTTCCCTCTCTTTTATTAGAGGTTGCTCCCTCCAAAAAAGAATTAAAATTCCCTCCAAAAGTCGACCCTTTTGAATTCCTGAAGACATGTCCATTGATTAAAGAGACATGTCCCTTCATTAGAGAACCTTCTAAAGTGTCTAGATGCATTGAATCACTCAATGAGGTGTTTGAAATATTTGGAGCCCTCAAAATTCGCACAAAATTCATCCTGAACCTCCTCAATTCATAAAAAGTCGTCTCTGGCGCTTCAGGTGTCAAGTTACTTAAGTGCACGTTGTTTTTGGGCTCTAGCGCTTTAGGCGCCAACTCTCTGTATAATGACACTTCAGGCACCATCTCTCTGCAAAGTGGCGCTTCAAGCACCATAATCATAACATTTGCTATTTTGGCTCCAAATTTTCTCCATTTTGTTACATTTGCTCCAAATGCCTAAAATTGATATACCTATAACAAAAATATGAAAATATCATTCTTTAAAGTGTATATCACCAAAAATAAACATAAAAAAGATACTTAAAATAACATATTATTTTGACGTATCACCTCACATCTTCAGTTTATACTCTTGGACCGTGTTGAGGCTAGATGGGCAGCCCTTGTGAAACAAGTCGAGATCTTGATCGGGCTAACTAGGAAGGCAGAGAAGCTTGTTGTGATGGTCGAGAAAAATCTTATTGCAACGAAGGAAGAACTCCCATGGTCTCAGAATTATTTTCTATCACCAAGAAGAAAAATCGTGAACTGAAAGAGCAAATGGAGACCACAAAAACTGAAAAGTTCTTTGCATTGCTTCCGTCCCACCCTGGGTAGGAGAAGCTATTGGATGATCAACCTCAAACTGGTAGCTTGACGGCAATCGATCGGTTCGTCCTGTTAGGTTTGGTTACCCGAAATATGTCGACCCAAAAGAATTTATAACCCTATAATCCAATTCTGAGGGATCATCCAGGGACGACTCAGATGCTGAAGACAAATAGGGGACTTCCAGCCGGCTTCCTGAAGCTTAAGTTTTTCCTTTTGAAATATTTTTGTAAACATTTTGTATAGAAAACTTTTGTAAACATGGAAACTTGATAAATATGAAAATTTTGTCGATTTTTCTTTTGTAATAAAATGAATCGTTCGGTCGTCTTTAGTACCATTTGGTTTTTGTCTTTGCCATACCTATGCAATGATTTGCATGGTAATATGTTTGTTGAGTGATGGAGCCTCGTGGAAGGTCATGTTATTTTTGAATTGTTGCGACCCGACAAAAATCTTACCTTGCCAATCTCGTTTTACTTTGCTCGGATTCATCCCTTAAGTTGGTTTTCGTCGTCGTCAGGACTTACGCGTATAATCGTTGTCTTAGCGAAGGTAACCATTCGCGCTTTACACTGAGGTGGTAATGTCGTATCTTTCGTGGAGCTTGTTGCTACTAGGCATGGAAAGAGCTCTAAGGTTGTTTCAGAGTCGAGTTTCGAGATCGATTTTTTTAGTTCTTGGCGCTGTGGGTCGACTGTGGGACCGACAGGACAATCTTAGCGACACGGTTGGTAGCTTTTATGTTTATGTCCGATCAGAGGATCTTAACGTCGCGGTTGACAGTCTTTATTGACTGACCAAACAAACTTGACTCCGCAGTTGATAGTTTTTATGTTTCTAACTGACCGGAAGATCTTGGCATCATGGTTGACAGTCTTTATTGACCAACCAGATGATCTTGGCGTCGCGTTTGATAGCCTTTATTGTTTCGAACTGACCGAGCAATCTTAGTTTCGCAGTTGACAGTCTTTATTGTTTGGCCCGTGTCTTAAACTTAGCAAAAAGTCTAAATCATCCTCTCCGACAGCAGCCTCCGTCGATTCCCAACTTTTGTCAGGTCTTAGGAGAGTTCTATCGTTGTCATCTCGAGGGTAATCGTAGAGACTCGCCGCTAGGGTGATTTCAGCGTACCCATCACAGAGCTTATCTAAACTGGGCAGAGAACCACCTCCGGACCTTTATCCCACTCGAGCTTAGAAACCATGAATTTTTTATGTGAGGGTGTTGTAAGATATTCGACCAGCTGAACCACTTTAAATTTTAACCGGCGCCATTCCCTGGATTCAACTTCTCTGAATGTCGATTTGAACTCAAGACAACATTAGGGAATGGGAATATGTTAAAAGATGAGACAAATCCGCAACATACCTTTTATTTGTCGGTATAGTTTCAGCCGCCCAAAATCACCGGGCAATGTCTTGATTCTCAGGTGTCATGATGATGCATTCAATCGGTTGTTTTAACAATTAGGAGTCAATTATTCATTTTGCAGCATCGGCCTCATAGTTAAGGCGTTCCAAGAAAATATGACGAAAACAACACTTTAGCTTCCAGCTCTGTTGAGTAATAAAATTCTTATCAAACTCCCTATCAGAGATATCACTGGGATGTACTTTTCCTCATTGCTATTGCTTCCATTCTTGTTAACAACACGCTCCATGCTCACCGCACATTTTAGGATGATGAATTCAAATTTGTCTTGTGAGGCGTGCCCAAGGATTTGAGCGGTATGAACCAGAGGGAAGAGAGAGAGATAGAGAGAGAGGAAGAACACACAAACTTGCCCAGTGGGGCCGAACTGAGGTATACTAGGGTTCTGTGACCCATTTCGTATATAAAAAGAGTGATAACAAAGATGATGAGGAAAATTTTTTTCAGAATATAAGTAAAGAGCCAAAAAAAAAGCCCTTTTACATGTATTGGACCACTTCTCTATAGAAGATAGAAGGCAACTAAAAAAGAAACTATATATTTACCCATGCTTTTATGAGGGAGTTACAGGATATTAGGTTTTACATATTCATAACTGATTTTTGGCGTCTTTTGATGTCTCCAGTTTCTTAGCCCGACAGATTCTTCCTTCAAACAATTGAGATGGTGTTGGTCATTTCGTCTGGCTGAAAGGTTGAGCTCTGACTGATAGATTAAAGAGCTACAGGCAGACCATTTGTGTGTGTGTTATTATTCATTAGTGTTTCTTCAAAGGTAAAGCAAACATTCTTATTATTAATTTAAGTGTCATTTATCAGAGGTTAAAACAGAGTATGTTCATGGTGAATAATTGCACTCCATGAAAGTAGTAAACTTTAATATTTTTTTTATGCAATTTAGGCAATTCAATAATTTCATAAGTTTGTGGAAGTTTTTATATTTGAAGAAACTTTACAAAAACCAAGAAATCTCAATATTCGAGTATTTTTCATCTAGTAGTTATTAGTATGTTATCGTATCAGTTATTTTGCACATATAAATATAATTATATTTCCTTTACCAAGTATTTGAAACTATATAAAATTTTAGGTATTTTGGCAAGCTTCTAAAAGTTTATAAAATTAATTATACACCGTAATAATATCAAAATTGTTATTAATAGTTGAATTTTATGATTCACATAATTTGAATTAAACATTAATAGATCCAATAAAATTTGCTACTATTTCATATTTACAAATTCTAAAAAGGTCATCAATCATGAATGCCACTTTAGCTAAAGTCTGCACCTCCAAGTCCTACTACAACATCTATATAACTTGCTAGCTTAAGGTCCAAATTAACAAGGATCAACATTTAGGAAAATTTGAATATGTAGCACACCATTCTTATGCATTTACATATCTCACAAGTAAACTTCCTATTTGCATACATGGCAAATTTAAATTAGTCTTTTCCTCCATCTGATATAAAAACAAAGTGCTCGCTACAACATTCTTATTATTAATCTATCTTCGCCAAAAACTTGCCAAAATGAACATTCAATGTTCTCTGTTCCATTAGGCATCGCTATCACATCTCCCTATATAAAACACAGCAAATACCCAGTGTACAAAGTGGAAGATAATATAATATTCCTACATTCTCTCTTGCATTTATTTCTTGTCATCGTATGGTTCACTCATGATCGAAATCAAACCATCAGTAGTGAATAAACGAGAAGAAGACGAACACACATAGCACAACAGGAATTTTATAAGGTCCAACTAATTGATGGCCACATCTTAATATTGTTGTTGCAGATTTCACTATGATGGCAGAGTTTGTCAAGGAATTTTCAAAATCCTACACACTATGTATTAGTTTTACAAGGTCCACCTAAACCTTTCTCCCTAAACTGAGCTAAGTTTTGTAACAAAAATTATAGCAAAATTTCCTAGTCACTTATGCAAAAGGTCAATCTGACGGCTGAGTTGGTGTGAAATGTTCTTTCATAAGGCATAAATTAAACTCCACAACTCAAAATAAAAAATAAAAAAATGTCATTCTCATGTATTTATTCCAATTTAGCTAAAGTAATTACGCTTATTAGTAACCTTCGATAAATTTAGACACCATGAAATAAAAAATAAAATTATTATTTGATCACTCACATATTTACAGTTGTTCGGTTGAAGTTTGTGGGGCATTAAGCAGCCTTTCCACCTCATCATTAGCCTCAGCTTGTATTCGCCACCGCTGTTAAACAATAAGAATGAATCATACCTATAATTAGTGATGAAAAATAAGAACCACTTCGAAATCAATCCATGCATTGGAAATCTTGCCTCTTCAAGATTTTCTATCTCCATTATCTGTTGTATCTGCTTTGCTATGCTTTCCTATATTAAGAATATAAATATATTCAAATTCCCTATGACTTTAATGGACAACATAAATAAATGAACAGAAAAAAGCTAAAAATCTTCAAGTTGCAAACATTATTTACCGCATTGCTAATGGCTTCAGCGACAAGAACATCAGAATCCATTTCAACTTCAATTTCGATCATTGAAGATATCTGTAAAACAAACTCAGATAATTGACGCGCACACCATGACAACCTAAGTTAATGTATCATCTTGAAACTTACTTTAGCATAGCTATCAATTAATTCAATCCTTGCTGAGATGGATTTTTCCAGGCTTTCACAAACTTTTTTGACTCTAGCTCTTCGAGCCCTAAAAAAAATGCCATATCTCAGCATTTGGAGACTTAAGTATACAGATTTAATGTAAGGTCTGACATACATACCACACAATTGTCCAGTGTTACCAATACATCAATTAAGTTGGGAAAATTTATACACATACCACACAATTCTTATATTTACATATCTAACACCTAAAATTGATACTTACATGCATACCACTCAAATTGTGAACATTGCATTAGAATACCACTATTACTAATTTTTTAAAAGTAAAATACACATTTTCATATAACACCAAAGTGCTATAAATGTAAATATCAAACTATAAGTGTTAGATATGTAAATAAATAAGAATTGTGTGATATGTATGTTAATTTCTCTTAAATTATTAGCAGATCTCTAAGTTGAATTTACCGATAGGATGGTTCTCCTACAGCAATGATCTTGTTCTCTAACTGGCACATGCGAGCCAGCATCCAAACCTTCAAAGATGGAAGTCCAAAAGTTGAGGGCACTTACAACTTTAAGCAAAAAAGGTGCAACTTCTTGTTTATGAAAATTAATCATTATCATCGATCGAACCTCTTTTTCAGTATCGTGTCTTAGGTCCTTGATCCTAGACTTCAGCAGGTCATATTGAGATAAAAGTTGCTGTTTTAGATTAATTACATCCACCATTCTCTGAGGAAGCTGAAACCATGAAACAATGGATAGCGTAAATAGCACATAAATTTTAAAATAGATGGTAAAGTTTATAGTGAGGATCAGATGGCTAAGTGTAGAAATGAAGATGCTCTGGAAAAAAAGTTTACCGTGATTGAAAAGGATTCATTCAAATTCTAAGGTGTCTAGCGTGGGCCTATACACCAATGGAATGTTGCGTCCCTTTAGAGTTCTTTGGATTTTTTGTATAGGTGGTTATAGATATATTGAGAGGAAAGTAATTTTTTTGAAAGTTGCTATGCTAATCTTTTTTTTTTAAAAAAAGTAAAAAAAAAAGCATTTTAACAATTACGACATACTGGGGAGATTTAGTTATAAAAGACAACTTCCCACCAAAAAATTACTGGAAAAAGTAAAAATGAAATAGAAGTCAAATAAACGTGTAAAGACAATCTAAAAAACAAAGCATTAAAAAGCCTGACATAAATCGACCCCTAATTTTGCATGTGAAAAAGTAAATGATTATCAATCCACCCTTCAGCACTTTAATCATGCATCATCAAAAGGAAATGACCTTCGATAAACATCTAATCAAAATGTATGCCACATTTAAATGACAGCAAAAGAGAACTTATTTCTTTTCTCTTCACAAAGTTCAACTTGTGATATCGGAATTAACCCAAATAACAATAGAAACACAAATATTATTATTAAAAAAGTCAATAGGCAATTACAACCAACGCATGTAAAGGGGTAGAAGAGTGGCTGGGAAAGGAAAAACTGCTGGAAAATAGCAAGGATAGTTGTTATAGGGGGAGCTGCAGCAGGGAAGGACAATGTGGAGCGACGGCGTGTGATGCAAAAGGTGGAAGAGTTGAAAGGCTGAAATAGCAGAAAAACAACCAAGGAGGGCTGTTTCCGGGTGCCTACAACAAGTACAACGACGACGACAACAGTGAAGAAAAGGATGTAGAGGAAGAGGAAAATCAAGGATAATCACTAACTAGAAACGAGATGCAATAGGAGCACAACTCACCCTTGAATAAAGCCATAGAAGGGAAAATTGGAGACATCAACGGCTAACCTGATAGAAAACACCAAAAACTCAAACCTAAACACGACAAAAGCACATAAATAGCACTAGGGTAGTTATGAGTGGGTTCCCTCTCACAAGGAGGCAGTAAACCCATGTAAGAAAGGCTGATCGGCCCTCAATTCACCCTTTTAAAATGGTCCAGAGTCACTAGGAGGCTTCTGCGTTCGGTTTAGTTCGTACACGGGCAATCCAGCGTCCCAGGATTGGGCGAGCTTCAATCACACTCGTCGAAACTTCTATCTTCTTGAGTATGACGTCAGGTCAGTCCACATTAGAAGTGATAGAAATGTAGCAATCTCCTGATAAGTCAATTATATAGATGTTGTCATTCCAAAACAAATCCTAATAGAATAAATATCAATCCACTTTTGACACAACTAAAACTAGAATAGCTCGTGAATATGTACCCTCACAAACCAATCCTCGAGCCATCAAATCTATAATTGGCTTCTTCAACTTCTCGTGCTAGTTCAAATGGAGCTAGTAAATAAGTACGTAAAGAGGAATCAGCTCTGGGATGAAATACATGGCAGGTTGGGCAATTCTCAATAACAAACAATCGGGAGAGACCCCTTCTCTTGTAGGACATGAATCCCATTGTAGGATGTGCTTATCACAAAAGATACTAAGACGATATCTAACGTTGTGGCTCATCTGTCTTGTTTGATCATCTGTCAGTGGGTACACTGCTGAACTAATTTCACTGCTCAAATGACTCCATAGAGTCTTTCAGAAGTGTCACAAAAGAGTCTCATATATAACATATTGAAGCTCCCTCAATAGGGGCAATACTATATATCTGAAGTGTCTGAATTCTCTTATAAGGAGTTGTCAGGTGTCTGGTGTCCGTTCTTTGAACTCATGGTCGTCTTGGACAACAAACGTTAATTCTAATGGAGTTTCTCTCATAGACTCAGCTTGAACTAAGTGCATTTCTCCCTTATTAGTCGGAATTAAATACTCATTTGTGTCATCATTTTCTTCAGTGTCTATAGTATCATTTCTTATTTCATCAATAGATCCCTGCTCAGTGAAATAGATCATTTCGGTTGTTGCACAACCGTTAATTCTAATGGAGTTTCTCTCATAGACTCAGCTTGAACTAAGTGCATTTCTCTCTTATTAGTCGGAATTAAATACTCATTTGTGTGATCATTTTCTTCAGTGTCTATAGTATCATTTCCTATTTCATCAATAGATTCCTGCTCAGTGAAATAGATCATTCCGGTTGTGCAATCTAATTCAATATGATCAAATCTGTGCCACTTGAAACACTTCTTGACTTGCATGGATTTGGGAGAGCTGGTTGGCTTCACCAATTCTCTACTCTGAACTAGTTTCTCTCAAGCGGGGTCAACTTGGAAGCTCTATTGGGTGTGCTCTTGCTGCTTGATCCTGATGTAGAACTTTGCTTGTACAATGTGAAGGCCATCCGATGAAATTGTTTCCCTATTTTGAAGCAAGGGTCTGAACATCTTATTTGTAAAAAATTAGTAAGTATCAACACTGCATCTCTAGTTTCATCTTAGACCGGATAGTAATTTTACTTTGCACTTCTCGTTGTTGAAGAATCTTCACCAAATGATGCACTCTTCATTAACTTTCCGGTAGCTAGTTTCACCATTCCCGATGTGGTGTCCTAGTACTCAAAGAATTTCCAATGTCCAAAGTCACGTGACGAACTCGTTCAAATCCATGTGGCTATCAAAATATGAAAAATCCGTCTTTACTTTAAATACCTAACTTCTTCGATATTCCATGTCAAATCTTCGCTGCAATGGTTCTTCATCTCTGGAATTTGCCTAGTGTAAGGGACTCACTACATTCTTTCAATCTGATGAATTACTGTTGTAGCTATGATTGACCCTTCCAGATTTTTTCCTCTCGAAGGTGTCAAGGGTTTGTTGCAGTTGAAGGATTTCCCTAGAAAGTTATTGGACATTTCTTAGTGGATTTCTCATAAACGACATTGTATTATTTTCCCTCGATCAGGTTTTCGGTTATTCTCTCTTCGGAGGCATGGCTAGAGTTTTGTTGTGGGTAGGTGGGATAGGGTTTATGGGCGTGATGTAGGATAGGAAAAAAAATTTGGATAGCTAGTGTAAAAAAATCAACAAAAGGAAGGGTTTTAGGTAGAGATAGAGTTAGGTATTAGTGGATTGTTGGATGCTAGAAACCCTATGATATGAATAGGATTAGACTAGCTCCGATACCAAATCATACCAGAGTTAGCCCAAACAACATAAGTAAAGCAAATATTATTACTGAAAAGATCAATAGGCAGTTACAACCAACACACAAAAACAGGAAATAATAACAAAAATGACACGCAACTATGATGCATCTAGGAAAGTTTTGAAAGGTGGTGGGTGGGTTGGACAGTAGAGAAACAGCAGGTGGGTGGAAGTTCGGGTGGCGGCAACCAACTGGAAGGCCTAAGACAATAGAAAACAGTAACCGGTTACCATTGTGGGGCAGCGGCAATAATGTTGGATGGCCAGACAGTGGTAAAACAGAAAGGTGAATGGGATTCTTGGCGGCGGCAGGGAGGCGGAATGGTCAGACAGAAAGGAAAACATTAAAGGGGTGGAAAGAGCGGCTGGGAAGGAAAAACTGCAAGAAAACAGCAAGGATCGTTGTTCTGGGGATGGATGCAGCAAGGAAGGACGATGTGGAGCGGCGGAGAGCCATGTGAGAAGGACGTAGAGGAGTTAAAAGGTGGAAACTAAGAAAAACAATCAAACAGGGCTGTTTCAGAGAGCCTGCAGCAGTATGGTGACAGCGGCAGCGGAGGGAAGGATGCAGAGGAAGGGGAAAATCAATGATAACCACCACCTTGGAATGGATACGGACGGCGTATGCAGAAATGCATGCGCCATCTGATCTCCACCGTTAATCAGAACTTTCATCAATTTTTTTTTTTTAAAAAAAATGAGCCCACTGAAATACAACTTTGGTCTGATCAACGGTGGTGATCGGACGGCGCATGCATCTCTGCATACGCCGTTCGTATGGAATAATTTTTCCAACAGAAAACACATAAATACCACTGGGATAATTAGGAATGGGTTTCCTCTCGCAAAGAGGCAGGTAAACTCATGTAAGGAAGGTCGGCCGGCCCTCAATTCGTTGTTCTGAACCAGTCCCAAGTCGCTAGGAGGCTTCTAGGTCCAGTTCAGTTCGTGGGATCGCAGGAAGGCATCCTTGTATGCAGGCGCTCCCGTGTCAACTTGCCTTGTCCTGATGGTGCACAAATGCAATATCTGAACCCGGCTTATCATTCCAAATAATACAGATTACTAGTAGATATCAATAAATTCTTTTGCAAAAGAAAATCTTATTCAAGTAATATGCCTTTATGAAGAGAATGAATTGCAGCAGAATATTTATCCAAGTTTTTGGCGCTTTGCATGTCTAGATAATATGATGTTCTCAAATATGGGTGCCTTCACATTGGACATGAGGCGCCATTTTCCTTGTCCCTAAAGCGAAAACACACCAGCAGTTTGAGGAAGAAATCTATGATTATGCAATTAATGTTAAATCCATTGTTGTAAATTAAAGATTACTTATTAATATGTACAACAACAACAACAAAGCCTTAATCACACTACGTGGGGTCGACAATTACTTATTAATATGTCTTGTAAAAAAAAATTAAAACATATGTATATATCCAGCTAGTTGAAAGAGAGGAATACAGAAGTGAATCAAGTTTCCAGGAAAAAAAAAAGAAACTCAGTTACCTTGCTTAACTGTGGAAGAATTACACGGCTCACTGTAGCTCCCACAGCCAGGGAAGCAACAGCTACTACAGAAATGAGTCTGGGAAGGCTGGGATCAATGAAACCAGAAGCAGCGTCTCCACTAGCAAGTACCGCAAGTGAAGTAAAAAGAAGTGAGGGGTTAGATAGAAAAGAGTACTCCTCTCTCAGAGGAGCTCTTACTAACTGTGACACTTGCCCGGTAGTGTGGTTTGTGAGAGACATAGGCTCCCCTGGTCTAAGTTCAGGAGGCTTAGCACTCAATTTTAATGGACCAATCTCCTGATATATGTTTGCCGGAGCAGCCAATACAATTGTCACTCTTTCTCCTCCTTGAGCAGGAAGCTTTACTGTCTTAGTGGCAAATTTATTTGTGCAAGCTATTCCAGAAGGTGTGCGCACCTGTATGAGGACAACAAAAACCAAAAACCAAAAAAACAAAAGGTTAAGAAACCTACAATTTGGATACAAAAAGAAATAAGTCTTCACTTCCACACAAAGCACAAAGTTTAATGAACCGATTAATAAATAAAAAAAAAGCAGCGTGGGAGGTTCCTTCATTTCTTTTCCCAGAAAATTTTCATTATTGGATTGGGGATCGGTAAATGCAACATAAAAGCTGACACTCGACTTGAATTTCCTAACAATCTAATTCTTTTGGTCATGTCCAAGGCATACATAGCATGTTTTGAGAATTTAGTGTCATGAATGAACTATCTGGATTCAAATTGTCCATGCAACGGGTAGCTAGAAAACCTTTAGCCTTAAAGGGAACAATGCAATTTATGATGATGAGAATACACCTTACAGTGCATAATTTTCAATTCAAGTCGGAGTTATCTATATATGATTGAGATTTGCTTCTATGTGGTTTTCCATGGGTTTTAAAACAAGCATGACCTCATAATTAGGTTTTGCACGCACAAACCTTAATTGAAGGTCGCCAAGAATGAATAAAATAGCCCCTTTCATAAACTCAAAATATATATAAGATGGAAGTCACAAACCATATCGAACAAAATTGATACAAGATTTCGATATCATACATGATTTCGCTAACGTATTTTGTGTCAGTATTACTACTTAAATGGGAAAATATATAGATTAATGATAGACCAAATCAGATTTTTGGAGTACATTAAAAAAGTGTACTATGCCAGCATGAGAAACCACAATTTTTCATGGAAAAAATTGGAAATTTTTTTATTTAGATACTTGCAAAGCAAGCCTTTAATAACATTTAGAAAAAAAGGGTAAAAAATTGGGAAAATGAATTGGTTGAATAACTTAAACCAAATGTTTACCACAACAGAGTGGATAGCAGCAGGAGGGCTGTCTCTTTTTACTCGGAGGAATCTCAAAGTTTTTTCCCAAGCTGAAGTATCCATGCTGCGTTCGGCAGTAGCAGATCCTTAGAAAAAAGTCAATACTGCAGAATCAAAACCACGGATCGAACTATTCATGCATACATTTTAAATGACCTAATATATCACTTAGTAGCATCTAAGAAATGGATTTCAAATAACTTGGACGAAGACAAAAGTGCAGCTAAATTCATGTTTGCAAGGCATGATGTTGTTTGTTAGAGTACAGGAAAAATCTATTTAGAATGCATTATATAAGTACAAATTTTAAACAAAATATACAAATATTCCCCTTCCTCATATTTATTTTCTTCTTATTGTACTCATCTAATATGCCTATAAAATGCTGACCTTGATATCAATTCCGTGTTGAATATGAACAAATAAGACGAGAAATCATGAGCAAGAAATGCAACATCACACAAATTTGGTCAATGCCATAAATGCAAAATCATCTAATCATTACTCGTTTCACAAAATAAACTACGTTAACACATTCATAGCTTTGGAATTATCAAAAAAGGATGCCCATATTGTTGAGATAGCCCACAAGAAATTTTAAAAAAAAACTTGCACACGCACAAAGCCTAACCACCACTGAGAAATCAAGATTTTGACTCCCTCAACATCTGAACCTTCTCATTCGCATGCTCCTCGACACCGTTCCAACGGCAAGTATCATTAGCTTTTCCTGCAACTGAGCATTTCATTTAATATTGTAGTTGACAACCACGGATTCATGCCGTCATAGCTCTTTGTGCCCCCGAAACTTGCACTCGCCAGCAACCCTCACAACCCCAAGCACAAACGCCAATGACGCCTCTTTATCTCCTGTGGTTAACAACTCTTTGCAGGACTACAGACTCCCCAATATCCAAACCTCTAGCAATCTACATCCTTTCACCGCAATGATGAAATCCAAAGACATCATTGGCGATAGACTGTCAAAATCCTTTGATGTTTAATCGCATCTAATGTTTTTTATGCTCCTCTCTACGTATAGTTCCCTTCCACTCTCTTTCCTCTCCTCTTCATTCCATGTATATGTTATGTATATTTATAGAAAGAAAAATTTTGGTAAAAATCTTATCTTCTTCATTCATGAGTTGGGCTTCTACATAGCCTTACAATCTCTTTTACAAATAAACCCTAGACTTATTCTATATTCCCTATTTACAATTAAACCCTAAAATAATATACAAATCTCAACACTACCCCTCAAGATGGGCAAAAGATATCCACTAAGCTCATCTTGTCACATAATCTAGACAAATCTAATGAACTAAGGATTTGTTTGAGGCAGCTGCAACTTATTAAAAAGCTGTTGCACAACAGCTAAGGCAAGAGCTGCTACACAGAAGCTAGTTGTCTGTTTATTTTTTGCAGTTTTGAAACGGTTGTACTGCAACTGCTTTTGACAAATGATTTTTCTGCATATTACTGTAGTGTTGTTTATAACAGGACTAATCATACTAGCACATTTCATACTTGAAAGCACAAGTCCAGTTTAAATGTTATAAAAAAAAACACCTCACAAAATAGTGAGTAACACGATAATAAAAATTTAATAAAAAACTATTAAAATAATAATTAATAATATAATAATAGTATTTTTAAAATGCAGTTGGTTAATGACACGAGGTAATTCGTCCTCTAACTAAAATCTCCACGTATGATTTTTATTGGAGATGGAATCCTCAAACCGATCCGCCCACCTAAAGAAGTCACGGTTCTCTGTTTTTTTTCCTTTGACATCTATAAAACTTTCTCTCATAGTTATGTGAATGTCGCGAAGCAAGGAACATGTAGTCCACAGTAGCAGTAAAATGCTTTGGAAGTACTGAAAGTCCTCGAGCTCATTTTTCTGAAAATTTAAAAACATAAAGCATAAACTCTTAAGTGCAACAATAGCAATAAAAAATATTAGAAGTAATCAATTCAACTCCCATGACACTGAAGAACCACCCCCAGCATCTACACACACCACCAAGAGCACCACCACCATAACACTAAAGAACCATCCACAACATCTACACACAACACCAAGAGCACCACCACCATGGCACCGAAGAACCACCCCAGCATCTACACATACCACCTATAGCACCACAACCATAACACTAAAGAACCACCCCAACCTCTACACATACCACCAAGTGCACTACCCGCAGTACCACGAATACCAACATCACCACTAACAGCATCACCCCCAGAATCAACACACATCACCAACAACACCACCCCCAGAATCACACCACCATGGCGCAACATCACAACTAACAACATACAGCACTGTGGTACAAAAAAAAGCATAACTCACACCACCACTACAAATATCACCACCAACATAGAATATATTTTTTCCAACAAAGAGGGCAAACCACCAACAAGACCAACCAACGAGTAGACCGGCAAGGTTGTTCCAATTGAACCAACAAAATGACAGGATGATTACATACAAGGCACCCAAAAAAAATTGCTATTACAAATCAAGGACCCTCATTCATCCATCTTTCAAATTCTCAGATATCAAAGGTCGTGATAAAACTCTAACCCATATTTTTCATTTTTATCAAATTCATGTCTGATGATCATGGCACGCGTAAATGCACCAAATTCATAGTTCAAAAAAACAGTTATGGGAATTGATTTGTAAATAGCAATGTTTCTTATGCTCTGTATGTAATTATCCCAAAAATGAAATAGAGTGGAGAGCCCAACTAAGCAAGCCACCCTAATTATCTCAAAAAAAAAAAAAAAATGAAATCAATATATATAATTGATTTGTAAACAACACACAACTGTATCTAATTATCCCAGAAAAAAATTGTTCTAAAAAGAGGCCAAGAAATCGCAAGAAGGTCGCAGGAACCACAATAGAAAAACAAAAAACTGCAAAAAATCAAATCATGGAGCAAGGCACAAATGGAAAATCTACAAACCATAAGCCAATATCAATGCCAATAGTGTAGGGTGGAGATTACCAATGAGATAATACCACCAAAACTGAGTATTCAGAGAAAAGGAAAGAAGGTAGAAGAAGAGAAATGCTATCAGAACCCGCTTAACACAATTGGGGCGAGAGGAGGAGGAGCTAGGGCAGAATTAAGCATGCGGTTGAAGCGCGATAGGAAGGAGAAGAGGCGAAGCTAGGGATGAGGGTCAAACAGCGAAGATATCACACCAATGAAATGCAGAGCAGGGTCGAGGGCAACTGAGGCATTATCTCGCAAACGAAACTTTTTTTACAAACGCCAGCTCTTGCGTTTTCTTGTTGCACCGCAACTAAAAAGCAGCCCCAAACGACCTAAGTCCCTTAGTGAGGCAGTCAACCACTTGCTCTCCAGTGGCTACATGACTTAGCTCCAATAGCCCTTTATTCAACTTCTCCTTGACGAAGAATCTACCAATCTCAACATATTTGGTTCTATCGTGTTGCACAAAGTTGTTAGCAATAATGATTGCTGACTTCTTGTCACACCACCACTTCATTTGAGTTCCTTGATCCACCTTGAGCTCGACCAACAAGGCTCTCAACCATATCATCTCGACAACTCCTAAGGCCATGGCCCTATACTTTCCCTCTATTGTTGACCTTACTACTACAGATTGTTTCTTGCTCTTCCAAGTTACCAAGTTGCCCCTTACAAACATGCAGTATCCGAAGATTAGCCCCTTCCCAGATGCACATTCTTCCTGAAGATCAGCCCCTTCCCTGATGCCTTTTCAGGTACCTCAGAATCTGACACAATGCATTCATATGACCCTTCCTTGAATCACGTATATAGCGGCTCACCACACTCACAACAAATGAGATATCAGGGCATGTGTGACTTAAATAGATCAGACGACCCACCTATCTCAAGTATCTCTCACGATCAACTGGCTCTTCTGCCTCTGCACTCAGCTTGGCATTCTGATCAATTTGAGAGATTGCATGCTTGCAGGTCAGTATTTCTATTTCTATGAGGAGATCTAGTACAAACTTTCTTGAGCAATCTCTATCTCATCATCACCAGTGATAATCATGCAATCAACATACACAACAAACAAAATGATGTGACCATCACTTTGACAAAAGAACACTATATGGTCGGCATTGATATGTTGGTATCTCATGGCCACCATACTTTTTTTAAACTTGTCAAACCAGGCTTGAGAAAACTGCTTCAAGCCATAAAGTGACTTCTGGAGCCCACTGTTTGACTTGTACCAAATATTGATGGTATATCCATATACACCTCCTCCAGTAACTCACCATGAAGAAAAACATTCATCACATGGAGTTGGTGTAATCACCACTCACCATTCACTACCAAAGAAACCAGTGTCCTCACTATGCTCAACTTCGCTAACGAGGCAAAAGTCTCTTCATAGTCAATGACATGTGTTGGATTGTACCCTTTCGCTATCAATTCTGCCTTGTAATGCTCAACTTTTTCTTCTGGATTTTATTTTACAGTGAAGAACCACTTGCACCCAACTACTCCTTTTCCCAACAGTAATGGTATTATCTCCTACGTCGTGTTCTTATCGAAAGCACCAAGTTCCTCCAGCATTACAGCCTTCCACATTGGATTCTTCTTAACTACTTGCCAACACTTGGGTTTAGAGACATTGTCTAATGATTCAATGAATGCTCCATATACAGGCGATATGTTAGAGTATGAGACAAACTGAGCAATGTCATGTGAGAAACTAAAATAATCAAGAAAATAATAATCAAGAGAATGATCAACATTGCTGCGAGATGCCCTCCTTAAAGCCATGGGAGTGGGAGGAGAAAGGAGGAATCATATCACTTGAGTAATCAGATTCGGAAGTGGAAGGTGTAAGAGTTTCAGGAGTCTGGGTAGACCAGGACAAGGGACTAGATGACACGAGTGACACGGCACAAACTGTTCCCTTATTTTGCCTCCTCCTCCTTGTATACACACTTATCTCAGTTTGAGCCTGAATCATCCACTTTCCTCATTTTTTGACTCTTCCTTAGTCGATCATTCCCACACAACGGAACAAGGTATTGTTCCCACATATACCAATCTCTGACCATCACTACTCTCCCCATCACACCTTATACCTCCAGTATCTGACGAGTCACCAAATGATGAGGTCACCTACATAGTGTAGTACAGTTTGAGCTCTTTAAAAGACACAACCATGCGCACAAACAATCTCTTCTCTATCGGACTCTAACAAACATACCCCTTCTGGGTAGCAAAATAACTTACAAAAATACACTTCACAACTCCAGGATCCAGCTTTCCCATTGATGGTCTGTTGTCCTTCACAAAACATACACAACCAAAAACCTTCAATGGGAGGATTCCTCTATTATCTCCTTTCAACATCTGATAAGAAGACTTCAAAACCTTCAATCCAACACTCTCGAAAGCATTTTGTTGATCAATTGAGCCGTTGTCAAAACTATATGCCCCCACAAGTGCTTTGAGACATTCATCGTGATCATCAAGCTTCGAGCTACCTCTCGAAGATGTTTATTCTTCCTCTCTGCTACTTTGTTTTGTGTCGGCCTGTATGAACATAGATCTGTCAAAAAAAACTTGTTTGCAAACAACACGTGTTCGTCTCTTTAAGTAACTCTTGTTCGACTCATTCGTTAAGTAAACGATTTTAAGCTCGAATTATAAACGAGTTGAACCTGAACTGCCCTTCGTTCAATCATGTTTGTCTTGTTTTAGCTCGAAATAAAGAAATTATATATATTATTTACACAATAATATATTATATATATTATTTATATTGGTAAAATATTATATATATTTATAATTAAGTTTAAATCATAATAGTTTATGTGATCATGTGGTTCTGCACTTTCTATTGCACGGAGTTGAAGCAGGTTCGAGTCCTTGCAATACCGTACATCTATTTTTTTTCAATTAATTTTAACGAACTAATTTCTAGTCGAACACGTACAAGAATATTTAAATCAAGCCGAACCGATTTCGATTACAAGCAATTTTGAACGAGTCGAACACAAACCAAGCCTAAGCTCGTGCAAGCTTGGCTCGTTTACAGCCCTATATGAACATGTGGCTTAATGTTATATCCCTTGAGCTGACAAATGCGTCTTGTACATTTTGTTTGATTATCAGACCTCAATACCATCATTAAAGTATCATATTGAGTTTGAATCACCCTATGAAAGTTTTTAAAGCAGGCAAACACATCACTTGCATTTCTCAACAAATATAACCAAGTAACACAAGAAAAATAATCAATGAAAATCAAAAAATATTTGTAACTATCCATCGAAATTGAAGAACAATATTCTCATACATCTAAATGCACCAAAGCAAAAACATAAGAACTACTTTTACCAGAACTAACATAAGAACTCCTGGTATGTTTGTCAAACTCATAAGCATCGCACACTAGTCTTTCCTTATTTGCCTTTTCAAACAAAAATGGATACAAATGACTCAATAAACTAAACAAAGAATATCTCATGTGTCTGTGATGTAGCACCAATACATCCTCCACACTCTTCTCAGTCGTGGATGTCAAGGTTGAGTTCATCCCCTCTCTATCAAAGTACCATAGTTCACTATGCCATGTGTCAATCCTAAGTTTCTAGTTAGTCACTTCTCTTGAAATACTACTTTTGCAATATCAAAGAAACACAATATTTTAGTTGAAGTATAATAACACTGATGGATAAAAGGTTCATTGAAAAAAAGAGAGCATGTAAAACATTAGACAGTCAAAAAATTGGTACACCTCATTGTACCTTTACCAACCAAAGGCTATGTTGTCCTATCAGTGGTCCGAATGTTCTATGGAACTGCTAGGTGAGTATAAGAAGAGAACTCACTAGCGGCATCTGTTACATATCGAGATGCACCAAAATCTACTATTGATTCTGACGAACTTGTGGTGGATATAGAGGCAAGAGCGTGTGTATCACGAGCACATTTGGCTGAGTGAGCACAACTAGCAGTGTTCTCCTTGGATGATGATAAGGTGGATGCATCATCAGTGACATCACATAACGCTCTTTGCTTCCTCATTAGTAAAGATCACCCTTGTTTTTCTCTCGTTCTCTGCTACCATTAGATTTTCCCGGTAGCCCTCTCTAGACGGTCCATGTCCACCCATCTCTCTCTCCTTGGGTGGCTTTGGACAAGTCTTACTCTGGTGTCACAATTCCCCACAGTTGTAGCCCTTGCGGGTCTCCCCCTAGGCACGTGTCATACCTGAGCTCGGTGCCGCCAAAGTTGATCGATTACCTGAAAGTTCACTCGACTCAAAGTATAGTCTCGTGCGGCTCACCTACTGTATCATCAAATTAACTATTTCTCAGCCTTTATTGGTTTCTCTTGCATGCAGAACCAAAGTTCTCTCCTTGACTGCTCTGATTTCATGCGGATTGTACCTTTGCCCTACACCGAGCTGCTCGAGCCACTCTACGACGATCTAGTAGCCGAAGGTGTTGTGGGTTTAGTCCTAGGGCAAGCCCAAGCATGTCTTCAACTTTCCAACTCGCTGCAATTGCCCGTGTTCACGTCGTGATCCACCGGTTGCCTTCCCAACAAGCCAAAGTTGCTCAATCCTTCGCAAGCAGAGATTGCAGCCAACTCCTCTTCGTTCTTCCCTGTCGTCACAAATCCTTCACGCAACCCAAGAGCCACAGAACTTACACCCCTTTTTAACTCTTCTGCACGAATTTGTAGTCGTTGCTTTCGCACGACATAATCCAACCGAAGCTTCGTCTGCTTCCCTCGCACGACTTTGTCAATTGCACACCATGATAAAATCAATTGCATGTAGGGTCTCGTGTTCGGCTCGTTCGAAATAGCTCGTGTTCGAAATCGGCTCGTGAACAGTGTGTTCGTGTTCGGCTCGATTTAAATATTCGTGTTCGCGTTCGGCTCGTGTTTGGCTCGAAATTGGCTCGTTAAACTAAAATTGAGAAAGTAAGATGTAAAGTGTGGGATTCGAGCCTGGATCAAATATATACAAAAGAAGACACTAACCACATTGTCACATGAGGTGTTATGATTTAAACTTAGACATAAATATATATAATATATTATTATATAAAAAGTTATATAATTTGTTTTTCGAGCCGAACACAAGCGAACAAACTGTTGTTCGTGTCTCGTTTACATTTCGAGCTTAAGAATTTGTTCATGTTCGGCTCGTTAGACTTAACGAACGAGCCGAACACGAGCTGCTTAACGAGCAGAACACGAGCTGTTCACGAACAACGAGCCAAATTGACAGCCCTAATTGCATGCCTCTGTTCACGCTCCCTGCTGCTGAAGTCGCACAGAAAAACAGCATGAAGCCCATTATGTTCTCTGCTTGCAATTGATTTTGACCCATTCGCACAGAAAAACAGCATGACTTTGACCCATTTATTACATGGATCAAAACAGCATGAAGCCCATCTCAAAAATAAAAAATAAAAAAAAATGGCTGAAAAATTAATTTATTTAAAAATAAAGTGTCAACATATCCCTTTGTTGTAGCGATTGCAAGTCAGCATATGCAAAACCCAAAATAAAAGAATTGATATATTATTTTTTATATCTCGTGTACATCAAAAAACTTTTGGCAAAGAGCAATTGTATACTCATACAGGGGACTTAAATATCAAAGCAATCATTGATGCCCACTATGTTGGGTTTGTTCACAATAGAAAGTCAACATCAGCAAAATGTACTTTGTTAGTGAAAATTTAGCTGTAAAGAAGAGAAAGAAGCAAAAAGCTGTTGCAGATTCAACATTACAACAACAACAACAACAAAGCCTTAATCCCACTACGTGGGGTCGGCTACATGAATCCTTTTTCTCCATTGCGTCCTATTTAGTGTCATATTTTCATTTAGTTCTAGTAAATTAAGATCATTTTTAATACAATAAGCCCAAGTCTTCCTAGGTCTACCTCTGCCTTTCTTAACACAAGTCGAATCTAAAACATCTACTCTCCTAATCGGATCATCTAATGGTCGACGTTTAATATGACCAAACCATCTAAGACGACTTTCTCTAATTTTAAAGCGAAATATTAAGTCAGAACTCATTCTAAAATGAAATGATATGAGTCAAAGTCTATTGAAGGATTCGACTTACCACCAACTGAGCCTATGGCTCAGTATTGAGACAATCATACAACCTTAAAATTGTTAATAATATATATTCCATGAAAAGATCAAACAGATATTATTACATCTTGTATCTCCAGTTCACAAACAAACAAAATTAAATTAAAAGATATCATTACCCAAGCTTTAGGTCCTTTCTCATTTCCTTGCAAATGTAATAAACTAAAGCTAATAGATATACATACTCCACCTTAAAGAAAAGTGTTAGTGAATTAATAATATTAGAAATAAGTTGTACATAAAAAGTACATATTTTGAGAAAATATGCATCCATTCTCTTAATTACATTTCTTCTCTCCGTTATTTTCTCCTATTATATTCATCGTATAAATCTAATAGATACATTCACCAGTGATAATACCATTCAATTCTCTTCCCATAACAAATTCATGTCCATTAAAAAGACTGTGAAGAGAGGCTGCATGCATTACCAGTACACCTTGTAAGTCTACTTTAATAAAGAACGGACGATAAAAAAATGAAGCAGAAAGTTCAACCAAATTATTATATGTAGCATAAAAAATTTTTCCATTTTCAAAAAGGAAGCTCTTTTAGGTCAATTAAAGAACCAGGCTTACCTTTATTAAAACAAAGTTCGTGGGTTAAAATTTAAAGCGCTATTATTTGAAGGCTTCCTAGTCCTGGAAGCAAGAAAAAGCAATCTAGATGTTCAGCAAGAAGTACAAACATACTGACCTAGTCACTTCTGAAGTAATGCTATGTATATCCCCCGACACAAGCTCGTACTGATAACGGCAATTGGAGCAAGAAGCAATCTGAACGGAATTTTTTCCATATAATTAGTAAAGGTTTGAGAACACAAATGCCATTTTTTTATTTTTGGAAAGAAGAACACAAATCATACGGTGGACTTCAACCCCAAGAAGATGTCTACCAAATTTTTTACAACTGTTGGTCATATGAAGCTAGATATTGTGGGAACTATTAACTTAAGGGGAGTTTGACATCATTTTTGCTTTTTTTTTCAATTTGTTTAATTTGTTTGGTTAGTATTTTGATTTTAAAATAAAATATATTTAGTGGTGATATTTTTTGCATTTTTAAAAAAGAATATGATCTATTTGAAAACTAAAATTAAAACAATATAAAAGCACACTAACAAAAATGGTTTTCAAAATAAAAGCAAAAACCAATACAAATAAAACTAAAAATCATAAATGGATACAAACAGGATCTTAAGAAATCAAAAATTGAAGAAATCGAGCCCAGAAACAAGAAAAATAATGTATTATTCAAAGGATATTATAATTAATAAACTAAAATTAAGTCGATTTTCAGAACTTAGAGGAATTATTTAATTGATATGAAAACGGGGTATAAATACCCTTACATGAATCCTAAAATAGGAAAGAAAAGAAAAAGGAAATAACATTAACAAAAAATATAACACCTATATCTCCAATTAATTAATTCATAATAATTGTTTGAAGATAAAAGAAACGACATAAAATAAAAAGCCTAAAATAGGGAAGGAAATAAATCTAACATGGGAAATGAAATAAATCCAATCCAAGAAAATAAATCTAATCCTCATAACTTTTAACAGGAATAAATTATTTCCTAATATAACTTTGAACACTCCCTTCAAGTTGAAACATGGTTGACAAACATATTCAATATTGGATTTGAGAAAATCAAATAATGGGATAACAAGATTCCTTGTGAGGTAGAACATGAAGTGTTCATCCCGTACTTGATAATCAACCTTTAGGGATATTTTTAGTTAACTGCGGTTGTCTTCGACTTAAGTTTCTGCAGTGTCTGTAAATAGGTGGAAGACTCCTACAAGTAATGTTGCAGGGAAGTTGACAACTTACAAGAAAAACTGCAGAGCACGATTTGCAAGGAAAAAATCCAGAAGATGGACTACTATAGAAAAAAGCTCTAGAGGATGGCATGTTGCAGAAAAGAACTCCAGAGAAGGGCCTGCTGCAGGGAAGAGCTCCGAAGGACGGCCTGCTGTAGAAAAACATTTTGTAGGCAGGCTTGCAGCAGAAAAAGCTCTGGAGAAGAACTCCAAAGGTCCTTAATTGAGTGAAATTGTTGCTTGAAGTTTCACAAGAGCGTTGCACCTGCTCTATGAATGGAGATAAAAAGCAAAAAACGTCGTCATGTTTTAATATTTTTACTGCAGAGGGCAACGCTAACCTGGTTGTGGAAGGTCAAGGAAGACAGAGTCTACAACTCCTGCAAAATTCATTCGGGAAGCCTTCTCACTGGTTATCCTAACTAAAAAAGTAATAAAGCTTCTCAACCCATTCGTATTGACATCTTCTCTAGCCAGCACTACGCTTAGCTCATGAAATTCAAATGTATAGACATGGCCAGAAGGTGTGACAACTCTAGCAAGAGAAATAGTTAGAGAACCACTACTAGTCTCTGACTCCAAAACCACACAGCCTAAAACAATTTCCAAGTAGGATAGCACAAAAATGATATCAGCAAGGGATAAAATTTGAGTCCTATGACTGAGAACCAAAGTACACAACTTAGGTGTTGGAAATAAGAGATGAACAAAACTACCCTTATTGTCAAATAACTTGGAGCCAAAAGGCCTCTGTATACAGTCGGAATGCATAAAAATTCCAGATCTATTCTGGGAGTCAAAACCCTCCTTTACTTTGATTGTGTTCATGTTATCATGTCTTTCATACAAAATCACCATCAGATTGTCATCATAGATGTGGCGTTGAAATGTATTCATTTTTTATGGATTTGATGCAAACATCCTCGTGCTATGACATGCAATTTATCGCTACTACACAGTATGTTCCACAAAAGCCTCATGCTTTCTTTTGAAAGTTAATTATTGGGTCTTAACAGTAGTATATCGATGTGAAGAGGACATGATACACGGCCGAGAAACATAAATTGAATGATGGGTAATTTGGAAGGAGAAAAAAGTACAATTTCGAGGGGCAGTGAAGTCTCCTCCCTGATAGTTGAGTGATGTCGGGAATGGGAAGGACACAGGAAGGTAAAGGCAAGCAGAGATGACACTATAGATTCTGGAGAAAGGTGTCAGAGTTTAGGGTATAGGTGGTCCTCTGGCTGCAATTCCACTTGGATTATATATATTTCAACAATTTCAGCGTCGACAGGAATGAGATACGGATGCAGCGAAAAGATTGCAAGAAGATGTGTCTCCACTAAGAAAGTCGGTAGAAATTTCTGAACTGCAGAAAATTTTCTAGCCGGCAGAGAGGATTTTCGACTGCTAGGGACCTGTGGGGAGACAATTCTGGCGGCTAGTTCCTGCAGGAAGAAGTTTCAGTGGCTAGAGCTTGCATGAAAAGAAAGTTTCCAGCGTCTAGGGCCTGCAGGAGGCAAGAAAGGCTGCAAAAGGGAGTTCCAGCGGTGGGAAAGACTGCAGGAGCGAATACCAGAGACAAGAAAGGATGCATAAAGAAATTTCGATGATGGGCCTGTGAAGAGAAAATTTCCGGCAGAAAAACAGAAAAGAAGAGGCGGCGGAAGGGTATGCAACACGGCAAAAATTGTTGGCTGCAGGGAATAGGAAGTTTCCGGCTGCAGAAAACCCTAGAGTTTGTTTCAAGGTTGTGAAACCATGTCGATTTTCAACATTCAGCGGAATTATGTTATTGATATGAATATATATATATATATATATATATATATATAGTGGTATAAGAATGCCAAGTTGTTGGCCTTCAAACATAAAAGCTTTAAAATCGAGAAATGATTTTGATCATTAGTGTACCTAGCCAAACTTTGGTCCCATTTGGTTCGCACTCCTTAACAATATACCCTCTAGAAAAGAACAAATGTGGCTAAGTCATATGGGTCTCACAATTAGTAGATGATCATTCATGTCATCTGTTATCAAAAGTTCAGCATCATATCAAATGGATCATGTTTATTGCATCTTTCATAGTTTGACCTATTGATTGAGATTGCCAGTGATGTTGTTTTTCAAATCACACCACTGAGAATAAAGAGAACATCGTGAAGAATCCGCCAGCTAAGACATAACATAAATTTGAGGTTTCGTAATCAAGGTTAGAGGCAAAAGTCCAGAACATTGAAGTGAATCCAAATTAAAGTAAGATAAGGGTAAAGTTTGAATTGTTTTAGAAAAATTTATCTTTCGAATTTTAAATTCAAGATTAAGATAAAGTATAATGTAATTACAATTTAAATTTAAAATAATTATATCTTTTAAATTTGAACTTAACTAATTTGATATTTGAAAATAGGTTTACTTATATTATCGAGTTTATTTACGAATTAATATTCTTCTATTGTAGAGTTCATTTTGGATTGATAAATATTATTTTAATAATTCCAATTGAGATTATTTTGAACTAATTTGATATTTAAAAATAGGGTTGCTGACAGATAGGTTTATAGCAACTAAGAATGCACAAATAAAATAAGCACGTTAACTTATAAATATGCATGTTTCAAAAAAGAGAATGAGCTTAAGCTAGAGAACAGCTGATCTTGGATAGTATTACCTGAACACCATGTTGAGGCTGTGCAACAGCAATTGCTAGCATACAAATTGGGCATTGGACTATCATTCCAAATGGCACCTAGAGTATAGAATACAAATGTAAATTTCATCCTTTACCTATTTTAGTGAAAAATAACTTGAATTATCTAAGAATTATACAGAATCATCTGGAGGAAATTAGAACCAATGGAGAAAAACAAAAAATAGGGCTTTCCAGATAGATAACATTTACTTCTAAATTTCTAAATTCACTTTTGCAATCTTGCTATAAAACCTACACTCACGCTTAAGTGCATTCAGCAGTTTTAAAGCACTACAGATAGTTCTGAAAAGTTTTTTTTTTCCAAACCATCTTCTGCATTAAATATTTACCAAGCAATTTGAAATTTTCTCAACTCAATTTTATTTTTTCTTTTAGGGGGAGGGAGGGTTTAGTGGTTTACCCCGCTAAACATTTAATTTTAGGGGCATTTACATGTATACCACCTAATTCCTATGTATTTACAGACCTAACACCTAGACTTTACATTTTACTTCTATGCCACCCAAATCTTTCACATCACATCAAAAATGCCATCATTTTAACTTTTAAAAAAGGAAATACACATTTTCATGCATAGGTAAAGTGGTATGTATGTAAATATTGAAGTTTAGGTGTCAGAAATGTAATTACATAGGAATTGAGTGGTATGTATGTAAATCTTCCTTAATTTTATTAATGTTATTCTCTCCAAATAATTTACCCTACTAAAAATAACAACTTAATTTATAGATTCCTGCAAACATACCACTTAGTGAACTCTTAAAACTATATTTCTTATCCTTAAAAGAGTAATAATCATACCTAGACTTGGGAATGGAATTAGTAAGCCGCCAGTGTTAGAGGGATATAATATACATCACTTGATGTGATATATATATATAAATCAAACAGGAGAACGATCGATGAATCGAAAAGTAGAACAGAAAAATCACACCAGAAAACAACACAGATTTACGTGCTTCGGCAAATTCCCTACGTCCACAGAATTGCAGATGATTTTACTACTTGAGAAATTTACACCGGTCAATCACCTCGACTTACAAGAGGAATCTCTCACTTCGTTGCTCTCTCTTCTCTCTCTGTTCTTCTCTCTCTGTTCTTCTCTCTCTACACCGAGATACACCGAAGAAACTCTACACCGAGATATACCGAAAAAGATAAACTTACAAGAGAAATAAACTCAATTTCTTTTCAGCCACAAGCCACCAAGAAAAAGCCAAGGAAGAACAATTTTCTTCTTCTTTTCTCTTTTTCCTTCACCGCAAGGAACTACACCTTGCACTTCTCTCCCTCTATCCCGAGGAAACCTGAAGAACTCTTCCTCTATCCTGAGAAAGCCCGAAGAAGAACCCAAAATCGTGACTTATCATCACCTCAAGGAGAGCGGCTCCTTTTTAACATGAAACCGAGCGTGGGAGCGGTTGAACGGAGCGAAGCGGCAGAGAATCGCTAGCGCTGATTCGTGAAACGTGAGGAGCGGGAGCGAGCGAGAACAGGTATCGCGATAGAGGCTGGCGCTGATTCTCGAAAACGGGAGCAGGAAGCGGGAGCTGGAGATCGGGAGGCGAACTTCAGCGCTAATGATCTCCCACTTGAAGACCGATACAAAGGCTTCAACGTCTTCTTCCTCGAGCTGAATTCTTCACTGGCGGTGTTGCCCTTTTCTTCAAATATGAATCCCCCACCATGAATCCTCCACCTCTGTAACTCAAAGCCCTGTCTTCACTCACGAAGGCCAACTGAAGTTGTGCATAACTTCAGTTTCTCAAGAGTAACACCTTCAGTCAACATATCAGCAGGGTCCAAATACAAATAGTCTTGCACCTCCAAGCTATTTTCTGAATTACTCTTGTCTCTACTTGCGACTCTCAATGCATGGGCATATCCTGTCTTTGCTGAAAGCCTTTTTCAACAAATCTAGTCTTGTACCTCTTACGTCATCACGCTCAATCTTCACCTGGTACAACCACTTGTTGTGTAATATCTTCTTCTCTGGTGAAAGTTTTGTCAGCTCCCATTTGCTTGAACTTTTATCATGCAAGATTTCTTTATTGTTTTGTGATTCTCCACCATCTGTCTGTGGAACAATAAGAATGGGTGTCCTGGACTCACTATCCTCTTCACTTCCATCATCAACAGAACTATGAACTGCCAACAATAGTGCATTATGTATTTCTGCAGATATCACATGTGTTATCATTCTCCATCTTCTAAGGATTCCTGCAGTTCCTCCTTATATGGCCAGCTTTGTCACAATTTCAGCAGGTTGTCTACTGACCAGACTTTGATTTTGATCTCCCTCTATTTGAGTTCTTGTCATACTATCTCCCTCTGAAATCAACATTCAGTGTCGAACTCGAACCTGAGATCTTGCCAGAATCTTTTATGCGCACCTCCTCATCCAAAATCAAATCACAAATATCATCACATTTCAGTTTAGATTGATATGCAGACTTCTTAACAGTCAGTTGTCATCCCCATGACTTCCCAATTATTTGGAAATGATGAAAACAATATCAGCGCACGTATCTCATCATCAAAATCAATTTCAACAGACGACAATTGATTCATGATAGTATTGAAATCATTCAGGTGTTGAGCAACAAAAACACATTCCGCCATCTTCAAATTCAATAACTTCTACATCAAGTACACATTGATATTCACCGATGATTTTTTATACATACATGATAAGGCTGGCATGAGATTTACAGTCGTCCTTTCCTTGACGACGTTGTCCTTTCCTTGACGACGTTGTGTGCAACAGACCTCGATGGGGTCAATCGAATAACCCACAGAACTTGATTATCCAACAAATTTCATTCAGCCTCATCCATCCTTTCAGGTTTTTTTTTCAATAACGAAAGATGAAAGTTTTTCCCATAGAGATAGTCTTCTATTTGCATCCTTAAATAATTGAAATTTGTGTCATCAAATTTTTCGATCCCTGAAACATTCACTTCATCTGTAGTCATCATTTTTCCTCAGATCCAAACCTCGCTTTGATTTATATATATATATATATAAACAAGAGAACGATCGACGAAGCAAAAAATAGAACGAGAAAAATCATACCAGAAAAGAACACAAATTTACGTGGTTCGGCAAATTGTCTACATCCCGGAGTTGCAGAGGATTTTAAAACTTGAGAAATTTACATCAGTCAATCACCTCGACTTACAAAAGGAATCTCTCACTTCGTTATTCTCTCTTCTTCTCTCTTCTTCTCGAGATACACCGAAGAAACTTTACACCGAGATACACCGATGAAGATAAACTTACAAGAGAAATAAACTAAATTTCTCTTCAGCCACAAGCCACTAAGAAGAAGCCAAGGGAGAACAATCTTCTTCTTCTTCTTTCTTTTTCCTTCACCGCAAGGAACTACACCTTGCACTTCTTTTCCTCTATCCCGAGGAAAACCGAAGAACTCTTCCTCTATCTTGAGGAAGCCCGAAGAACTCAAAATCGTGACTTATCATCATCTGAAGGAGAGCCGCTCATTTTTAACGTGAAACCAAGCGCGGGAGCAGTTGAACGGGACGAAGCGAAGCTTAACTTTGCGGCAGAAACTCGTTGGCACCGATTCGTGAAACGTGAGGAGCGAGAGAGAATAGGTATCGTGACAGAGGGTGGCACCGATTCGCGAAAACGAAAGCGGGAAGCGGGAGCGAAAGATCAGGAGGCTGGAGCGGGAAAAGGATCGGACTCCATCGCTAACAGCCAGACCCAACTTTTGCAAAATATAAGGCATGTGACTGACAAAAATAGTCTAGCTTAACCTAAGACATCTGGGAAATACCTATCAACCTAAGAGATGCAGCATCAAACAATATGTCACACCGACACAATATGGAGTAGCAGAGAGAAAAATTTGATACTTTCTAAAGGTAGCTCGAAGCATGACGATCTTGATGAATATCCCAGAGCACTTGTTGGGGCAAGCTCTTTTGACAAAATCTTAATAGATCATCAGAATGTCCTCAAAAGTGTTGGAGTGTTGGAGTGACAATCTCCTTGTGAGTTGTTGAAAGGAGATAATGGTGGAATCCTCCCATTATTGATATTTGACTGTTTATATTTTGTGAAGCATAACAGGCAATAAAAAAAACACTGGATTCCAGAGTGGTGAAGTATATTTTTGTGGGTTATTTTGCACTCAAAAGGGGTATGTTTATTAAAGCTTCATAGAGAAGATGTTATTTGTGAGTATAGATGTGACTTTTAGAGAATTTGAATTTTATTACTCTTTGGAGGTGACCCCACCCTCTGGTGACTTGCCAGATATTAGAGGTATAAGACGAGAGGGGGAAAGTAGAGATTGTGAGAGATTAGCACATGTGGAAACAATGCCTTGTCACGTTGTGTGGGAAGGATCAGCTGAATAAGAGCCGAAAAATGAGAAAAATGAGCAGGAGGTGGGATTCAAGCTCAAAGAGAGTTGAGAGTATATAAAAGGAGGAATAGGCAAGAATGAGAGAATGGTGTTTGTTGTGTCACTCATGTCATTCAGGTCTGCCCCGAATCATGAGACACTTACACTATCCACCTCAGAATCAGATTACACGGTGATATGATTTCTCTTCATTTTCTTCTCACATGCATGACTTTAAAAAAGGACCTCTAGCAGCAATACGAATCTTTCTCCTAATCGTTATTGTCCCGGTTTTTTTAATTTTCCCACATGACATTACTCAGTTTGTGTCATACTCTAACATATCACCTGTATATGAAGCATTCATTGTATCTTTAGCCACTGTCTATATACCCAAGTGTTGACATGTGACTAAAGAGTATTCAAAGTAGAAGAGTGTCAAGCTGAAAGAACTTGGCACTCTCGAGAAACAAGACAAGGGAGCTCTCATTGCTACCAACAAGAAAAAATACAGTCGAGTGTAAATGGGGGGTCTTCATAGTGAAGCAGATCTCAAAAGAAAAAAATTGATTGGTGTAAAGTACGGTTGGTGGCGAAAAAAATATGGTAAGACGTAGGGCTTCAAATATGACGAGATATTTGCACCAGTGGAGAAGATGAGCAAAGTCAGGACAATCGTCTTTTTAGTTGTGAATGGTGGATGGAGATTGCACAAATTGGATGTGCAGAATGCATTTCTTCGTGGGGATCTACAAGGGGTGTACATGAAAATAACCCCAAACTTCGACATAAATAAAACAATGGGCAACCGAGCTTGCTTTAACAAGTTTAGGAGAGCAATGGTAGGCATGGGTTATAAGTAGATCAATGCCGACAACACAGTGTTCTTTCGACGGCATGATGGTCACATTACTATGCTTGTCATGTATGTTGATGATATGATAGATACTCGTGATGATAAGGGAGAGATTGCACGGCTGAAGACAAGATAGAGAAAAAATTTTGCAATGAAATACCTAGTAAAACTTAGATACTTCCTTAGGATTGAGGTAACTTATGGAATAAAGGGAATTATTATATCTCAGAGAAACTATGTGCTAGACTTACTCACAGAGACAGACATGTTGGGATGCAAGCCTGCAGTTTCATCAATTGATCAGAAAAGAAAGTTGAGTACAAAGACAGGAAAGTAAGTTGGTTGCGAGAAGTACCATAGGTTGATAAGTCGTCTCACTATTTTGCAGTAAGCGTGCTGAGTCGCTAAATGCATAATACAAGGGACACATGGATGCATGGTATAGGATTCTGAGGTACCTGAAAAGTACACAAAGGAAGGGGCTAATCTTCAGAAAGAATGGATATGTAAGCATTAAGGAAAATCGTGACTCTGACTGAGCGAGTTGTACTGATAACAGGAGGTCCACATCTGAATGTTGCATGTTCTTAAGGGGCAAATTGGTCTCTTTAAAGAGCAATAAACAATAGATATTAGTGAGGACAACAACAGAGGCAAAGTATAAGGCCATGGCCTTAGGAGTTTCCTAGACGATGTGGCGGAGAGCCTTGTTGGTAGAAGAGCTCAAGGTGGACCAAAGAGCTCAAATGAAGTTGTGGGGCGCAAAAAGTCAGCGATCAGCATCACCAACAACTCGGTGTAACATGATAGAACCAAACATGTGGAAATTGATAGGTTCTTCATCAAGGAAAAGTTGAATGACGGACTACTGGAGCTAAGTCATGTAGCCAGTGGAGAGTAAGCGGTTGACTGCCTACGAACATGCAACATTAGCTCATTAGATTTGTCTAGGTTATGTGACAATATGGGCTTAGTGGATATATTTTACCCATCTTGAAGGTGAATGTTGAGATTTGTATCTAACGTAGAGTCATATATGTAAATAGAAGAAGTCGAGAGATTTAATTATAAATATTGTAAGGCTCTAAATAAGCTCAAGCCATTAATGAAATGGATAAGATTTGAAGAGAAATTACTTTCAATTAATACAAATGTGGGGATGACTTAATGTATTAGGCCCATCCTCTAATCCCTTATTTGTAAGTTCGGTACAAGACATGGTGCTAAAGAAATGCTATATTTGAGAAACACAAGTAAAATTACATAACAAGCATTAGCAAGTATTTGTTAGTATATGAATAAACTTAGGAACAACGATGCTTTCTAATCAAACAAAGAGCACGAGTTGGATTAAAAATAAAGAACAAGTTCAAGTAGAGTCGCCGTCGACTTCACTTATAATTGATGAGTTATGATAAATTTTCCAATGATTTTGCATTCGACAAACACGATATTTTGCTGTATTGGGTGAGTATTCTTCGCGACTCTGGGTGATCTTGGGGCTAAATAGACATTGGTGAATAGGATTGGTGACTTAAAACTCATCAGCAAGGGTATTATATCTATTGGCAACTTCAATTTCATGATAAACTGCCTCCTTTTATCTGCCGATTTGAGCCAAGTTCTAAGTAGACAAAAATAGTCTAAACCTAAGCAATATTGGGCGTGTAGCATACAAATAATAGCATATATTTAGGTATTATATTAATAATTTCATCAATAAAAACAAGTTTTCAAGTTTTATGGCAAGTGACTGATGCCAAAGCAAGGAAGAAGGTCTTCTCTGAAACCTAATAAATCTAGAATGAATGAAATCATGGAGAAAATATACGTAAGAAATTTGATAGATGGACATTAACATGGAAAAGAGGAATAAGTTTAAGAAAGTAAAAAAACAACTAATTACCTCATCTCCTGAAGCAACTCCTGCACCAGAAACCAGGCCTATAATCCTCAATGCATCCGCAACTCTCAAGGAAGCTGCCAGTCCTCGAACCAGCAACGCATAGATCTGCACGTCCGGCCTAGCCCAGCCCCATCTCTCAAGGGTTTTTACCTCATTCATGCCTGAGAACACAGAAATCAATAACCTAGCCAACACTTTCATTGAAAGCCGAAACATCCGTTTCTGTACAAGCACAAATTGGAGAGCCAAAAACGATAAAAAAAAAAAAAAGTCCCAAACCTTGAGCACGGCCAGAAAGCATTGCGTGGAAAACTGACAGTGCCAATTCGACATTCTTTCCATCAAAAGCGGCTGCAATTATCAGACGGCAGTCATTAATCCCTACAATACCCCCGCTCACATTCTTCTTCGCCTCCGCAATCATCTCAATAGCTTCCTGAGCATCCTTTTTTCCTACGATGCGCCTCAGTAGGTCGTCCTCAAGTAAACCGGCTTCCATCCTCTCGGTTTCGACGCTATCGTTACCTCCAGAATAAGCTACTATTGGAAGATGATGCCAGCATATAGAAAGAGGACTAAGGTAGAAGCATTTCGAGTCCCAGTGGCCGTGGAAAGGCGGATGGGACGAGGTTCCGCTGGAAGAGGGTCTCAAGAACTGAAGAGCGCGGAGGGAAGGACGACAGGGGAGAGGACAAACTGTGCTCAGAGCCATCTTCTTCTCGAACAGGCAATTGCACAAACACTTTAAAGTTTGAAAATGAGGATCAGGAACAAGTGGCCTAAAAATAATTGCGAGGGAGACTCGAATTAGCAGCTGTCTGCAATGGATCAGTCTGAAACTGTCAGCTAATAGATTTAATAAATTATGTAAAATTAATAAAAATATTTTGTAAGATTTAACTATCTAATATATATTTTTACCTTTCCTGATTCATAAATCTCATAAATTTATGATTCGCCGGAATTTACGGTCAAAATTCAAATTTATCAAATCCACAGTTTATATATATATATAT